GTCAAGTTCGCACAACAGGAAGCCCAGGGCCGGAGCAGCTCCTCTGGGCTCGGCTGGAGGCTCTGAGGTTGGTTGTGTTGGTTTCACCTCGGATGGAAGCTGTGGATGGATGCGGTCCTGCTCCCTCCTCCCAGGCAGAGTCCTGTCTCCAGGGTCTCCTGGTCCCAAACCAATGTCTGGATCTCCTTGGACCCCGGTTCTCAGCATGTCATTTGGGGAACCCTGGAGACCCCACGAGGCCCTTTTAGGAGGCGTTGAAGGTCAAAAATGATTTTCCTGATAAAACATCATTTGCCTTTTTCAGTCTCGCTCTCTCTCAAGCGCACAGAGGAGCTTTCCGGGCCCACACGCCTGATACGGCCACAGCCTGAGTTCCCGGGCCAACCCAGCTGCCTTCTCTTAAGCCAGACAGAGGTTTTCACTATTGGGGGGAGGGAGGGCGGGCGTTCTTTTTTTCATAAAAATGTTCTTTGTTAATGTGAAGTGGATTTGTTACTTTAATATTACAGTGTTTTAATATGGCCGATATCAACAGGCATACCCCAGGCGAACAGGTGCGGAGCCCTGCCCTGGCCGGGGTGGCTCAGTGGGTAGAGCGTGGGCTCAGGGAGGAAGGGTCCGGGTTCCATTCCGGTCAAGGGCACGACCTCGGTTGTGTGCGTTGCTTGCGGGAGGCAACCCATCTGTGCATCTCTCTCCCATCATGTTTCCCTCTTGTCTCTTCTCCCTTCCACTCTAAATCAAAGGAGACGGTGACAGGACGGTCTGGCATTGTGTGTTTAAAGCCTCGGGGTGCTGGCCTCCCTAACCTTTTCCTGACGGGAATCGAACACGGGATGGTGCTCCCCCAACTGAGCCACTCTGGCCGGGCAACACATGGTTTTCTCTGGGGAGAAAGGGTGACTTGTATCTCACTGCTAATAAATTCATGTGAAAGGAGTGCTTATTTCAAAACCCATAGGTACATCCTTAGGGCCCATGGACACATACCCTCGGGGGAGGATTAACAGCAGCAGCAAAGGAGCGCGTGGGAGTCCCGAGGCCAGGAAGTTTGAAATCCACTAGTGAGACCAGTTACTGGGGAGGAGCCAGGGCTGGGCCAGCCGGGCAGCGGCGGGAGTAGAGGTGGGGGGGCGGGGGCAGCTGCACCTGCTGTGCTCGCTTTCCCGGCGCCGGTGGTTGCATCGGAATCGGCAGCTCCAGTCCCATGCAACAGGCCCGCTGAGCACGAGGTCCGCGG